CTTGATGAAAGTATGAATAAAGTAAGAAATGATAAATAGCTACAAAAAATTACACGCGAGTGAGGGTTTGCGATACAAAATGCAGAATTTATTGTGTCGTAATACTTTATGAAATTGTTAATTAATGTTTTGATTATATTAAAACATGATTACAAACACATGTGTATGTATGAGTTCTAACTAAGTTTTCGTATTGTCTTTTAACCTGACATTTTGGCTTATGACATTACAATTGTTGCGTAGAATGTTTGATGAGGACTATTCAGTTACATTAATTCATTTTTTAATATAACAATTTTCTAATATACAAAATGTCTTATTTGAAGAATAAGTTTTCTCTCTTTACAGGTTAATTTCTGAAACAACCTTCCAACGTACATACATATGTACATATGTATACATATGTGTATGTATGTACAAATACATATTTGTATGTATTGTTTTGCACGTAATATAAAATCATCAAAGTTATTAAATAAATACTTATGTCTGTAAGCTAATACATAACACACACACACACAAACTCAGATGTTAATTCATCAATAATCCCTGAAACTTAAAACTTTGACATTTAGATTTTACTCCTAACTATTTATAACTACTGTCAATTTGTTGTTATTGGTGTCACTAAAATACGTATGAGAATACGTTTAAGCAAACTTATTAATTGAAGTATTTCTTTTTTTTATAGCTGAAAGCATTAAATGTGCTATATTTTTCTTTAGCAAAAAAAGAATAACTGTTGTGTGTGCCTGGAATAATTCAAATAGATAAACATTATTTTTTATTTTATTTTTACCTTGTGTATTAAATCTAAATGGAATTATCACCCTTGACATACACGTAAAACTGAGATTTTAGTTTATATATATGTATGTACATTGTACATACATATTTATCTATTTATGTACATTATAAGTGTCCAAAAATAACGATTTTTCTCCGATGGGTCCAATTTTGTTTTATAGTGTCTAAAATTGAATGGGTTAAAATTTTAATCAAGTCGGTTAAGATTAAAATTGTAAAATTGGCTAAAACTAGAACTTAGGAAAATTGATCTTTTTGGACACCTCTAATGTACATACATACAAAAATATGTTACTCTTACTAATAAAGAATTCCCTGCAATTCGGAGTGATTGCTCCGAATTAATGTCATTTAGGACCCTGATTTTAATCATACTGTATTTCGATTGGTCACTAGATTTTGATAATATAATAGATTTAAAATTACTTCCAGCTAGATTATATTAGGATATATAAAGTAAGCAAAATCTTTCTCTAAGCTTTACCAATGTTTTCAAAATAAATACATACAAGTTTTATAAATTCTATTCAACCAATTACATATAAATTCAAGAAAAATTTTACCTAAAAGTATACATTGTAAAACTACTGGGTTTCCAGTAAAATGTTGACACCGAAAAAAACTAATTTTGACAAAATTTTAACAACTTTGTTGTTGTTTTTAATACTGTTTGTTGGAACAATAAAAACAGTTGTACAAGTTTTATTTTTTCACATTAGAGAATTTTAAATGATGTTGTAATAAAAGCAAACCTGCATGTTGTCCTCATGCAAGTGTGAATATATACATTAATCCTGCTTTTCATTGTTGGAAAATTTTTGAAGATTAAATTTTTTGAAAATCTTTGATTAATAAGATTATGGAAACACATACCGGAAATATGTATGATTACTTATCTTTGTAGCCTTTAGTAAAATCTTTAATATCTTTTAATAAATATAATTTAGTACTAAGTATTTAAGAAATCAAAAATATTTACAAAAGCCGATTTGTAAAAAAAAACAATCAATTCTTTAATATTTTTTTATTGCTTTTCTTACAAAATATGAAAATAAAATTTCCGACATAATGAAAATAGTATTCTTATCGTAATGAGGATTAAACATAACTATAGTCATAAAGTCATTCATCAGTTTTATCCAGCTTAAACGTCAACATTAAAACCAAAGTTTAACATTAAAACTTTTATTTTCTCATAAATTTGATAAATTAAAATATAATTTAAATCCAGATGAGAAAATCAAATGATGTGGAGTTTAAAAGATAATTGATAATATTTTATGCGAATATTTTTGTGCAATCCTAATATATTACATATAATATATGTACATATTATGTATATAAATGTATGTTGATGCTAATATTATAGTAGCTTCAAACACAAATATTTTACACTAATATTAAGGTAATAACTACAGAATCCAAAACTACATATTAGTACTAAATAATAACACACGCCAACGAAATGAAGGTTTGTGAAAAAATTTAAAACCAATTTTTAGCTGCTGAAACCGATTTTGAAATCTGTTTTTTTCTATCATCCACCACTTTTTCGCAAAATTAGAACGAATATTTATATTGTATTTATAATTATAAAAATATACTTACGTTTAAAGGTTAACTTGAATTTTTTTATTGTCATCATAAATATGGATCTTCATTATCCTAAGTTTCATTTAAATCGGTTAAACAACAAAATAATATTTCACTATGGTTTCAAGATGATTTCCCAATATTTATCCTTCACTTATGTCTTATTATATTGTGGGTTAACATTATTCTATATATGTACATATGTGTCATATTATCTTAAATTGTATTATCTGAAAAAGTTTTATATGAAATGGATAACAGTAAAGAATAAAACCAGTTTTCCAAAAATTTTAACAAAAAAATGTTTTCTCAGAAATCCTCAAAATTCAATTCGCAGGTACCGCTAATATGTGAGAGATATCGACCTAATTTCTTTACTATTTTAATCCCTTCTTTATTGTTCATAAGTCACATGGATATTTTCATAAAATTTTAAAATTAGCTTAACAAAATTTTTAAAAGTTTAAAACTGGATTTTTGAAACTACAGTTTGAAGGGTTTCCCATTTATAACTATATTCCAAATACAGTTTACGCTATTTAACGAGGATAAAAGCTCACGTTTAAGTTAATACGAATGTAATGACATGGTTTTATTAGAATATTTCCCAAAATTTGTTAATTTATTTTTAAATATTTCACAGATAAGTGTTTTGTGACACTAAAGGATCGGAAGAATTTGTAATAACTTTCCCAATTTTAACCGATTTTTGTGTTTTATATCTTATTGGAACGATAATTAAATACATATTTCAATTATTTTCTGTTTAAATGGTAAAATTTTTGCAAAAACCACTTTTATCTACAGAGCTGTGATGCCACTAGTTAAGGTAGTCCTATCGCCCGAAATTTTTTTAGAACGCATTTTATAAACCCACTCTATAACAATGAGTTTAACAATCACATTAGAACAAATAAAGCGATTTTTAATTTTAAAACTTATGTCTAAATTTGGGCTTACAAATTCTAATGCTTAATTAAAATTGTGCCTCCCTAACATTTAAGAATCTTCATGTTTGAGCTCATGCATGTTGGTATTTGTGAGCCAGGTGTCACATTTAATTAACAAAAATTAAAAAACTTTTCACACCCCGCAAAAAATATTTTCATTTAAATTGTAATTTAAACTTTTGTATTTCGTGTTTGAATTTTATTACTCATTATTGCTGTTATGACAATAAACCTATAATATTTATTCAGAATTACTTCATAACACAATATCCGTTACAAAAAATTATCTTTAGAATCTTATAAACAGTTATTGATACAACTCTTTTATTACAAATGTACATTATTTAAAATAAGTTAGTAAAATATTGTCGATAAGATAGGACTGATAATGTGGAATCCTATACCAAATAAAAGTTTATTTGAAGTGGCTTTTTGAAGGTGGATCTATATATGTCATGTATGCTTCGGACCTGAATACATTTAGATTGGCAATTTGAGAGATCGATTAATTTTTATTATGAATTGTTCTGAAATTATTCGATATACTTATATGTATTTATATTACGAAAGATTTACAGTAGGGTATGGCAACAATTTCATAATTGAAATTGTAGGAATTAAGTTACAGCCAGTACAAATTTCTTGCAACTGTAAGTTTTAATTAAATATTTCGATGGAAGTATTGTATACCCAAAGGTTTTGTATTTCAGAGAAAATAATTTTTTCTAGAAACCTTAAACTGGCTAAGGTGCAAGTAAAAATTATGCAAATGTTTCAGTAGGAAACCAAAGTAAAGATATTTTTCTTTCATCTCCAATGGAAAATGCTCAGTTTCTTATTTTTCTTTTTAGAATTAAACCGTGTGTACAAGAGTGCGTCTGTATTTGCTTGAACAATGTCGATTGACAAATAAATGCATCAAATTAAAATCATGAAACTTTTCAGGTGTTAAATACAAAACGTGTTAAGGAAGTGTGTACGAGTAACTAAGTGCTAAAAGTTTTTCGTTGTCAGGTTGTATTTAAATGAACGTGTTGTTATAAAACGCAGTAGATTTATATTAAAACGTACATACATACATACTAACTTACATACATATTTATATGTATGTAAGATACAAGATATGTATGTATGTATATACAAATAGATTTTGTTGGCAAATCTGCAAAATGTTCGACGTTTTTCGAATTTGAGTTGAAGATGACAAGAAATGATAAAGATGTTGTAAATTTAATGATTTGAAGTAAAATACTTGGGTGTACTTCTAGGCAAGTGAATAAATCTGTGTCAGTATGAGGTCTTACAACTATAATTCTTAGATTCTTTAGAAATTGTTTTTTTTTTTTCTTTCTTTCTATAAATGTCTATAAAAATGGAAAAGGAAAACATTCTTATATTACGATATTTTAAAACCTGGGGATTAAATCTTTTTTATCAACAATATTATTAAAACGAATTTTTAAAGTATGTACGAAGATATTTAAACGATGATAGCATTTTTTTTGTAAGTCATATAACTAAAAAATGAAAAAAGCTAGAAAAGCAAAGCTGTCATAACATAGACTGTTAAGAATGTTTAATATAAATGTAATCAATATGTTACATAATTTATACTATTTTTTTTAATAAATAATAAGAATATGTACTTACATAATAAAATTTTTACACCAATGAGGAACAAAATTATGTCTCTTTTTTATCTAAAAATACAAAAAGTTTATATGACAATTAATACATGGACATTTAATGATTAGAGTTGTTAGATGATGAATTATTTTTCTACTAAGAAGAACAAAATGGAACTAGTGTTTTATGAAATAACATAAACTTAAAACTTTAATGACTGTAGACAATTTTTTAATTCTCATTGAGTTTATAAATATAATTTACTATAAAATTTTTAATTTTTCAAAAATGTTAGGAATTTTTTCCGGATAAACAAACGGCTAAATGCTTATCCCCAATAATATATTTTGTTTCATTAAAATTTTTACTTTAATTAAATTAAAGGTTTGGGAAAATAAAGGAATTTAATTTCTCTGTCAATGTTAAAAAATATGAAAAAGTAAATAATAATTTGTGCTAATTTTTAACAGAACTCTTAGTAGTAGTGTTTTGCGGGACGTATGAGTATTGATTTATAAACTTTCAATATTAAGTATACGTGTGGTTGTGCAGCAAATCCAGTAATAAAGAAAAAAATCAAACACAATGCAATCATTCCAAACAACAATATTTAATTACAGGGTAATTTGCAACTCGTTTTTATTGAGTGAGATTTCTCTTCTTAGTTCGTAGGAGACTTGGCTGTACATCAAAATTCTTTATTCGTAGAAATCAATGCAATCAAAACAAAAATTTGTTGAACAAAAATGCCTATCTGTGCAAATAGGCATGTTTTCAAAAGGGGAAAAATGCTGAATGAAAATTTTATTATGCAAACTAAGACTTAAATTTGTACAAAGACTTTTAATCAGAAGTCGCTAGTATTTATTATTCAAATTCCTAGAAAAATTGTACTATTAATTGCCCAGAAAAAGCTTGTTTTTAAGGACCGGTTTAATAATTCGTACTAAGGGAACAAATTACTTTAGCTTGAAAATTTCAAAACTTAGGAACAATTTTTCCTCTTAGGAAGAACTGTAAAAATCCAGGAAACGTTTTTAAATCATTTTAAACTTTAAAATTTATAAAAGATTGGAAAATGTGTATTGACTGAAAATTTCACTCTATAAAGCGTGATAAATTGAATAACTAAAACTTTGCGTAAAGATTTTTGTAATTACAAATAATGACGAAATATTCACATCAAGACTGTTTAAGTAGTAAGTTTTCTAAAAATTTTAAATAATTTTTTTTTATTTTTTTTTTAATTTTTGCATAATATCATTTTTAGCCATTTATGCAATATTTATTAATTAATTGTCTTTGGGAGAAAATTATAAGCTTTATACATACAAATTAACAGATACAATATCGATAACAAAGCAAACATATTTTACACTGATGACACAACCAGCCATCACATAAAAAATTTTACATACAGATTTAAATAATATTAAAATTTATAAATAACCGGACTTCATGCAAACCTGCAGAGAAAGAAACAAATTGCTTAATTTAAAAAAATGTACAGAATACATTTAATGGATATTTTGGTAAACTTGTTAAAATACATGTTTCTTTTATGGATGGGTCTTGTTCACATTAAATTCATTATGAATAATATTTATTTTTTTTCTACTTCTTTTTATTGTTTTCAATTTGTATATTTAGGCGAAGTTGTGCCTAAATAAATTTTTAAAAATTTTAATCTAGTATTAACTCAATAAATACCTAAATAAATATTATTTTCTTTTAAAAATATTTATTTATTTTTTATATGTTTTTATATTTATGTATATTGTTTCGAATTAAAATTAATAAAATGTTTGGTAATTTATCTATAATGTCGCATATGTATGACATACTGATTGATTTGATGAAATCAATCAAATAGTGACACTATTAAATTGCGCATATGATTTGATATTAAATTTTTATCAGTGCATGTAGTCTAGTGTCAATTTGAGGTTGTTAAGGTAAGGTAAAAATCGATTTAAAAAATATTTGTGAGATAAAAAGGTTCGCTGTTGCCAAAGTGCAAATAGGATTTCCCCAATACATAAATTTAAATGTATATTTGTTTCATAAATAAGTTCAATTGTACGATAACATTATACAATATTTTTTATTCTTCATTTTTAACATTCACATAACTGTATGCATACACACAAATGTTGCACGGAACTGTGAATAACTAAATGAAAAATAACAGTAAAAAATATGAAATAAAAAAGGACCTACATTTTTTTCCAATCATGACTATTTGGAAAAGAACTCAACATTATGCTTCAAATATATTTAATTGTTAAAATGTTCATATAAATGTTGACGAATTTCGAACTTTAGCCATTTTTTATTAAAACTTTAAAATTGGCAATAACTTTATAGTAAGAATTATTAAGGTACCTTTAAGAAGTTCTGTTTCTATGTAGTAGAAGGCAGCGGTTTTTTATTCTGTAGAAGCTAACATTTTCTAAATTATTTAAATACATTGTAGTAAATAACAGTTTCAAAGGTCTACATACATATAAATAATTCTAAACATTCTTTTATACTTATGTGGTACTTTCCACACATACACGATATTCTAGGGGTACAGTGACCTAGAATGTTAAACAAAGACATCTACCATTTCTGTATCAGCAGCTGGACATAACAAATTTAATGCTTGTTTGGGGCAGGAAATAAATTATAAGCTACAAAAAGTAATCCTTTAACAAAACAAAAAATAGATAAATTATTTAATTTCATAAATGAATGAATTGGTGATATTTTTGTTATGTTGACACTTTATAAGTTTGTAAGTATGAACAAGGTTTGAGTGTTCGTTACGAATGTATGTAACGCATACATATGTTTTTGTAAATGGATCTAATGTGGTGGTTAAGAGATGAAAAAATGGAAAGCTTGTAGTTGTGTGGGCGTTAATATTGTCAAGTTCTGAAGTAGCCCAGGAAAATACGGGTTTTGCTGCGGAATTTTAGATAGCTAAATGAAAATAAGCTTCTCCTTAGCATAATTAGTAAGGGATTAAAAGAGAGAATTGAATTTCCTACATTTTGGTTGCGGAATATTTTCGCATAACATTTTTTGTTTTCGAGCTATAGTGCATTATTTTTTCATTACAATGACATTTTAAAATCTTAATATTTTTAACTGCAATATAAATAATGTAAAATTTTTTCTTTCTAATATTAGCTAAAGTACATAATTAATTTCTGTTATATCCTTTATCACAGCATCACTCTCTGGCCCATAGTGCAATGTCCGTCTATCCGAAATTTCCGATGGGGTCAATTATCAGAATTATGAATATAATTTGAAAAATATTAGGGGACAAAGTCTACAAAGTCAGAAATATATTTCCACCAAATTTCATGGAAATCAGACTACGACTTCAACTAACTCTAATATAAAAAACCGACCTTAATTTGATTCCAATATTAATTAAAACTACAGTGTTTTTACTCTTTTGAAAATTCAAAAATTGAAGATGTGAAGATGTAGTCTGATTTTAATAAAATTCGGTGGAAATATTACTCTAAATATGTGGATTGTCACCACCAATTTTTGTGATACTATCTGAAATTATGGATAGGCAGACATTGCACTATGGGTCATAGAGCGAATTTGAGATAAAACGTGTAATAATGTATAAGCATGTATTAACTGCTTATGAGTGACGTAAATATTATGACTAATTTGTTATTAGTACAATCTATATTAAGATTTGAAAATATTAGTGCAATGGAAAAATAATGCACTATAGCTCGAAAACAACGAATGATACGCAAAAATATTTTTCAATCAAAATGTAGAAAATTCAATTCTCTATATAAATTATAATAACATTACAATGCGTCCGACGCATACTAAGCTAGATATTCGGCAAAAACTATTTTTTGTAACCTTTGGCATCCAATATCTCTCTTAGCGCACAAGATATTTTCGGTGACTTTTAAATCCTTACAAATTATGCTAAGGGGAAGCTATGTGTCAATTTTCATTTAGCTATCTAAAATTCCCCAGATTGCTCATTTTTTTGCCTAATTTTCCTGCAGTAAAGTGTTTTCATAAAAAATTTTAAAATTTTTAAAAATTTAATTCATAGTTTTGATTTTATGAATTAGGCGGTGTCAAAAATTTGCTATTGTTTCTTAAAAACAGAGGAAAAATAAGTATTTTGGAATTGTTAACATTTATAATAAACAAATTAGAAGGCATTTTTCTCCTAATGGAGAATATCACATACATATACATATGTACAAAGTTAGTTTGAAATTTAAGAGGAATGCACAAAATGTGTTGAAATTTGACGATTTATTTAGTTGTTGTTACCGATCATTTGATTGTCGTTAGACGTTGTATGTTGAACTAGAATATAGCCATACAGAGGTGGATAGAATAGTAGGTATAACAGTTTATTTTTGGTAACAATAATAGGTGATTGATTCATAAATGATTAATAATATTATAATAGGAAATTTGTATTTAAAACCTATGTATAAGAGGTAAATATGTATACCTTATGTATACCGGGGTAAAAGTTTTTTTTGAATACTTGTAAATCTACATTTTTGGCCACAAATGCATTAACGCGGATGTACATCACATGTACAAGCGTTTGGCGTTGTGTGTGTATGTTGTATGAGCAACACAAAAATACAAACTTACATATAGGAAGCGTATGATAACATTGATATCCTCTTATTCATGAGTGTGTGAAAAAATGGTTGAATGCGTTTTTCTCCTTGACCGATTTCAAAATCTTCTTTTTATTTTTGTTTACCAAAATTTATTATCCTTTCTTTCTTTATTTCTTTACCATGTTTACTTTTCTCTTAAGCTTAAGTTTGTTTGCTTTTTTTCTTTTACACACTTGTGTTCATACACATATGGACTACCCAGTAGTTTTGCCAGGAGTCAGCCAATTTTTGAAAGTAATTGTTTCGCAATGCCCAATGGTTGAATACAATTTATTTATTTTTGAAGCACTTAACTCCTATGCATTCTTTGTAATGAGAAAGACAATCTCTACTTCAATCACATATTAGTGTATGTAAGTAATCTAATAAGAAGTCACATCAAACCTTTA